GTACAAATTACGTCTTAGTCCGGTTACTCCTAAGAATGGCTGTAAATGACATCAATGGACAGCATAGGGAAGCATTGTTGTCATGACAACTGAAGGAGAAGCATCAGAAAGGGTAGGAGGACAGAGGACCATTTTAAGGCATCAGATGCAAAGTTAAATTCCTTTAATTTATTTTAGATATTTCCATAACAAGTGAAGGTAATGTAGTTACTTGATAGTGCTATAAAATGGAACTGTGGCTAGAAAATATATAACACTGGCCTTTTAAATATGTTTGTGCAGAAACACACTAAAATATGTGTTCTGAATATGAGCAACAAACGAATAAACAACTTTAAATATGGAGAGAAATTCGCCAAAATGTCACACTGATCATCCTTAAATGTCAGAATTGCACTTGTTGCATGTTGGAGCAGCTCTGTTACATTTTAATTATAATTTTGAGGGCAGCGTTGCATATTTGGGTGATTCTTTCCTCTGGTTTTGGATGCTGTGCAGCTGGAAGGAAGTTTACTCTCACTTTTTTTTTATTTCAGTCCAATGCTTTGATGTGTAACTGTAGCAACAAAGTATTTGTTTTTTACAACTCGGAGCAACTTATTAGCATCTCAAAAGCCAGAATAGGACTCAAAAATCCCACCTAGACAGGAATTTAAAGAAAAGCACCAAAGCAAATGAGCAGAGTGTTGTCATCCAGGACATGCTACTATGGGATCATCTCTGCTGGACAATTCAGCTGTTAGCATGTCATACACTGCAAAGACACAAAATCTAAGTTTTTATGTCTAGTTTCTAGTGCAAACCCGTTAGTACATGTAAATTAAGACAAAAATTATTTGTCTTAAATTATTTCTTGCAAGATGTATGAGCTTCTTTTAAATCACTAATTCTTGAATACAAATTAAAAAGGACTAGTTCCATCTATAACAAGACATTTTATTTGTTTTTTGTGAAGAAAAGTGGAACTAGTATTTATGTATCTGAATTATTGACTTTACACGAGCTTATTCATCTTGCTGAAAAGTAACTTTTAAATGTTTTTTTTTGTCTTAATTCAAGTGTGGTACGATATTTACACCGGAAGGTAGAAAATATTCTTGGTAACATTTTGTGTTTTTACAGTGCAACAGTCATACAGGCTGTCATATAGCAACTGTCTTCAGTCAGAGGCCTCTTCACATGTGTTGCAAGACTGACTGCTACCAGAGATCCTCCCTCCCCACAGCACAACCCTTCACAGCAACTCTTTGAAGTTACGATATTCAGTTTTCATTTGGGACAAATAAAGAATTTTTGAATTTTACTGAATTGAGTTATTAGAAGACACGAAGTCAAGGCTTTGCTGCCCAGACGTTTCTGACTGCATAGAGCATGCCAGCCCACCATGTGGTCCCTGCTTCAAACAAGCCGTTTGTTCAGCGTCGCGTCATCTCTAAGGAAATTACTTAAACTCTCACTGACAAGGTTTCTGCTTGTAAATCTTGTTCTAAATCACCTCTTTTCCTGCCAGCGAGCTCAGCGGAGCAGAGAGGGAATGATTCATAAAACTATGAGACGGAAACAAATTACACGCAGTGTGGGCCCGTATAGCTGGGGAGACACGGATGGAGACGCATGAAGTGTGAGCAGAAAAGTCCTCCGAGGGATCCATTTAGCGAATGAGGGTGAAATGGGTGGAAGAGACGGGGAAGTAGCGAACGAGAAGCCCAGCAATCTGTGAAAAGTGGGAGATGCTCAGAGGGAGAGAGAGAGAGAAGCAAAAGATATTTCCTCTAAAACCAGCCATCGTCTGGCTTTATAGTAGCAGAAATGATCACTTTTTCGGTGATATATGGGGCCACATTGCAGATTTGCTGCTGGAGTTCAGAAATATTTCCAACACATCCACTTAGATTGTTTTACCTTAATTAGAAAAAGGACAGTGAAAGGAGGGGCGGGGGTAAGGAGAAGAAGAATACGAGTCAGAGCGAAACTGGCAAGAAACCAAACTATAAACTGTAAGCTAGATAGGATTTACAGTTCTGGTCAGAAGTTTACACGCACTCATCATCGACATAAATATCCTAACAATTTTGAGCTCCTTAATAACGGCAGTGGTCCTAAAAGAGTGAGTAAAGTTCAGTTATTTTGATAGCATGCATTTCCATTCACAGAAATGCACTGGGAATAATTATTTGATGCCTTTCTGAGGAGTTTTCTCTGGGACTAAAGTCTGGAGATTAGATTGGTGTCTTTGTGATGTTAATCTGATAGATCTGGAGCGAAGGTGTTACTCGTTTATTGTGTTTGAGGTTGTGACGTTAGAAACATCAATCTCCAGGGTAGTTCCTCTTCTGCATGAAGCAATCTGATATCTGACGAGAAAACCATGAACAAGTCTCATTTTGAGTTTTTTACAGATTCTGAAAGTGTGGATTCTTAGCTTTCTGATGACATCAAATCAAAAATTAAGACGATATGACCATTTAAATGTTGGCACTTTGCAAACAGGACAGGCCTCAAAGTTCCAGAAGAATTGTCCTCAAACCACCTGTTGGTGTTAGCAAAGACTTTTCATTTACATTACTTTATATTAATCCCACCCCCAACATTGACTGTCAACTGGTACAATTGGGAAGTCATGCTAGTTGAAGGCATGCAGAGAAAAGGTGTGTCTGGTTATAAAAATATATATTTTTAGATGTTTTCTGCTTTTGTTCCATTTTCCAACAAGGCTGTGAGTTTATGTTTCAAGATGGAGACGTTTCAAGACGTTGCCTTTGTACAACATGTTAGACAATGTTTTCTTTCAGCATGATGCCCATTGAAAACTTCATGGTTTTTCCACCAAGTATTGATTTCTGAACTCTTCGTGAGTTAAAATATTAATGATGTTTCTAAATGGATATGAACTTGTTTTCTTTGCAGTATTTGCGGTCTGAAAGCACTGCATCTTTTTCATTATTTTGACCATTTCTCATTTTCTGCTAATAAATACTTACTTAATGTTTGCTTGAAATTTTGGAGACATGTCAGTAGTTCATAGAATAAAAGAACAATATTCATTTACTCAAACATATATCTATAAAAAGTAAAATCACAGAAACTGATCATGGTAAGTGGTCTCTTAATTTTTTCCAGAGCTGTATGTCGGATACAATTGTATAAAAAACATTTCTGTAACTTGATGTCTGACTCAACGTACTTTTCAGTTTATACTGACTTGATTTCAGTGATTTTATGTCCAAAACAACCCATAACATCTGATGCCTTTTCTCTTTAGTGCAGTTATTTTCAGTGGGGATTTGGTGATAGCTTGACTCCAGACAGGCGTCTGCTGATTGTTACGGTACTCACAGGAACTGTAGACCTTTGATCACCCTGGAGATGATTGTTGCCTCAGTCTTTACTATTTTGGCCCTTCTCTGATCCATTAAACTGGTCGTTTTTCATTTTCTTCCATGCCTTTTTGGTTTTGGCTACCAATCTAAAGCCTCTGACATCACTGCAGTCGTCTGAAACAACCAACTAGACCTCAATGTTTCAATATTAATGCCTTACAACCAGGATGTAGAACATCTGCTGCCTTCGTCCCTAAAACACAGCGTGCTGTTTGGACACCTGCTCTTTCACATAATCCGGTTGTACAGAATCATCTCCATGCACCTTGAGACGGCTGAGTCTGTTAGTTCCCCATTACTCCTCCACAGCTGGTAGGAAATTATTTGAAATGTTGGAATATGATTTTAACCAGAAACAGTAAACCGATCTGGGTAGTGATGTGGATCTGGTTTTCTCATGTACACCACTACATATACATACATTACCACTAATGTATGGGTAAAAGCCCAAATAGCAAGTCATACCTCGAACACATGGGTTTTATAGCAATCCACAAGACTCTGGTGTAACTCCAGCTGGGATGTGTTCCTTTCAATTTGATTGGCTTCCTGGCAAGGCATTGGCTTTAAAGCATGGCTCAAACAAATTTAAAGAGGCTGCAGGTCAGCGTTTTGGGAAGACCATTGCGTCCTATTTCTGTTGGAATCTTTAATTTTGATGAAGAAATTTGAACCGTCGGACCCAAACTGTTCCCCCCCCCTTCAAATGAAACGAATCCTTTAAGCTGGACTGAACTCTGCAGCTGCTAACAGGAACAAGCCAAAACTTTTCCTCAGAATAGATTTAGCTGCTTCCTCCATGCAGCTGCAAGTTAAGCAAGAAAAAAATGTGATTTAGAGGAGACCAAGAGCCAGGCCTTTCAACTCAACGGGGGCGGAAAGAGTTTTTCAAAGTGAGGCAACTGTGAAGCATGGTGATGCTTGGTGTGTTACTGTCAGTGATGCCTGTGCCCGGTTTAGAATGAGTGGCATAATAATAATGAAAACAATAATATGATAATGGCGGTAAAAAGTGTCTTTGCAGCTATACTAATCAGCCACAACCAGAGCTCATCATGATTGATTTGTGAAAGCAATTAAAACGGTACAACATTCAAGGGGTGAATACTTTTCACAGGCACCTTATATCTTGAATATTGTGTGGATAAAATTACATGAAATATAATTCAATTTGTGCACCTTTATTTGTCTTTTTGCAAATCACCATCTGCATAATCTATGAGAATGAAGTCATATGAAAATAAAGTTATAAAGTTACGAGAATAAAGTCAAATTATGAGATTTTTCTTGTAATGTATTAAAATGTTAATATGATTTTATTATGGCTTTGTTCTCATTGTTACAACTTTATTCTAGTATCACTTTGACTTTGTTCTTTTCACTTTATTTTTTATATTTTTTATAATTTTATAGTAATCAGCCACAATGGGGGGGGGGAAATCATATAAAATCCATTTACTTGCTAATTATGCTTGGACCAAAATGAACATCTCAAATATAATCAGCAAAAGATAAAAGTAAATCTATTTGGAAAGAAAAGTTTTCCACCTTTTATACACACTAAAAAATAAAACGAGTCCTTTTCAGATCCAGCTGGTCGTATTTTTACTACTTTTTTTTTTTTTTTTTTAATATCTTCTGATTTTGTAGCGAAACAACAGGGACAAGCCTGAGCATCCTGAATCAGAAGCCTGAGCTTTTCTACAGCGTGTGTGACGGCGGCGACAGTCCTGCCAGGTAACGCAGAGCGGGACTGCGTAGGCAGCGAACAGGGAAGAGCGGTCAGGCTGGAGGGCAGGATGATTAACCACTCCAAGCCTCAGCAGCACGGCCCAGCACAACACGAGACATGCCAGTCCAGCATAATGGCCTTATTAGGATAATGGTGGTAGTTACAGGCTTCGTCTTCCTCCAGGTAATTCCAGCCGTGTGCACGGGGGAATACAATTCAGTCGCTCCCAATCCGTTTCGACAGAGGGACGCTTTCGCACCGAACACGGAACGAGTGAAGAAGCTATTTTTGTTTGTTTACACCAAGCAAAAGAGAAAATGCCCGCTATTACGGACTTGCAAATCTATTTTATTATTTTTTTTTTTTCTCAGCTAGCTGGTTTCCATTCATGGGACGTGCATAGTTTCACTTGTTTCAGCTGACATCAGAAATTGCAGGTGGGATTTGAGAGGTTCTGCAGCTGGCGGGCTCGCAGAGAGGAGCCGGCCAAATCCGCTGGTCATCTCAGGTCCCTTGGACTCTCCAGGGCCGAGAGCGACGCTGCTGGCTCTGGAATCCGGGTAGCAAGGAGCAATTTGACGTGTCATTTTGTCCAATTATGCACGTCCACAGGACAAAAGCGGACGGTGACGTGTGGCGTCTCATTTTGTTACGAGAAAGTGTGACGTTGGCTCTGGAGAGGAGGAGACATTTAGTTTGAGTTTGAGGCTGAAAGTTTACCCTCTACTAGCAGCACCTGTTATATAACGCTGAATATTACTTTTATACTAAGAAAAGATTTAAAAGAACAAAATATAATTACAAAATTAAAGTCAGATTATTAAAAAAAATTAGGTCGTACGAGAATAAAGTCGAAATATGAAAGTAAAGTCAAAATAAAATGAGAACAAAGTCATAACAATACAAGAATAATGTCATTATATGTGAATAAAGTCATAATATTACAACAATAAAGTCATATGAGAATAAAGCCAAAATAATATGAGAATGAAGTCATAATATCGCGAAAATAAAGTTTTTATTCCCGCGATACAGTTTACTCTATAGTATACTTGTAACACAGAGGCCACTTTTCTTAGTTTCTCTTCAAGATGGGAACGACAAAAGAACATGAAGAAAATCAGATATTCACTAATTCTCATACGTCAGGAAATGCCAACCAAACAAAGCTGATTTCTGGGTTTTCTATCAGTGACTCAGTCAGAAACCAAACCGTCTGGAGTTTTATTCGAGGTTGCAGGTTGGAAAGAGACCGTGGTGTGAGGCCGGCGTCTCTTCAGGTTAACACATCCAGACAGCTGCTACCCAGGCCGCGTGGGAATATCCTTCGTTCTGAATCTGAAGCATCACGCAAAGTCGCATCCTGAATGCAGCACAATAGGACGCTTGTTCTCTACAGCCCCCTCACAGCAGATCAGCTGGCAGGTTTGCAGAAGATAGAATGGGAAATTCACTGCAGGGCAGTAACTACAAAGTCCATAGACCTGAATGAAGCAGTGAGTGTTTTCATTAGTGGGTCGTCTGTTTACAGACTAAAACAATCTTCTCTCTAGGACATTTTATAAACTTCCCAATGACCGCAGGAGATAAGCACCAATGAAAAATAATTCTGACAATGAATGAAACGTAACCTTATGATTATGAGTAACATATTTTATCGTTGCCATCTCATTGATTACTGCAGCTGATAATCAATTACTTCAATACGCATGCAGGTTCAGTTTCATGAAGCGATTGGCCCTGAGTCTTAACAACAGTCTTTCTTGACAGCTGTAGATGAAATGGTGTTTTCCATTTGCATACAGGAAGGAGCTGTGGTGGCCCTGTTCAAGATCTGCAGGCAGGACCGCTTCAGAGACCTCTACGCTCACGCTCTGAGAACGGTGGCTTCCATCTGCTGCGTGGAAGAGGGCATCAACCAGCTGGATAAGGTACATCTATCTCTAACACACAGTTTCCTTTATCCGCTTGTGAAGAACATCTTCTCCATCTGTTTTATGGCGTGTTCAAAAGAATGAAGTCTGAGTGACTTCAAACCCAAACTCTACTCTACACTACATATCTTCCACTTATTCAAGACAGCGTCATGGGAGTAACATTTCTCTCATTTCTCTCTTCAGTTTCTTATGAATCTCATGGTAATCCTAGGTCAGGTGGTATTGAGGGAAGTCTAAATCTGTGGAATATGTTCAGAAATCTTCCAAAGGGCATTAACTCTGACTCCTTTCGATCTCACTGGATCTCCCGCTGGATGATGACACTCCTACCCTTAACTCTACAGATGGATGAGGCCACCCTACAAAGGAATGGAGTAATATTTCGAGTGCTTCAATCCAGGATTTCATTCTTTCAGTCATGTTGTATCTTTCATGACCATAAGTTAGGGGTAGCTTATATTTTTTAGCTCAGTTATGTGAGTATCACTGCCTCTCCACACTTATATTGAAACCATCCTAGCGTACGCTAAAGGTCATTGCTGGAAGACATCAACAGAACTACCTCATCTGCAAAACGTAAAGCTAGATAGAAAGATACGGGTCGAAAGGATGTTTTGGGCTTCTGATCCACTTTGCCTCATGCTATAGAAAATGGTTATGGGCACGCCTTGGTGTAAGCAAGTTGAGATGTCACTGTTGCATCCAACCTTTGTCTCACGCCTCCCTTCAGTACTTTCATATTTGTAGTCATTTGACTTTCTGAGAATGAATTTCCTAATGCGTTTTATGAAACCCTGCTGTGTAACTTTCAGACAATGAGAAAGACAACATCTGCAATATGATGACTAGATGAAGTGAATGTCTGTTTACATGACTCCTGGTCAGGCCCTGTAGGACTTATTCATGAGGTCATTAGTTAGAGCTTCTGAATGCTAAGCTGACAGGTCAAACACCAAGACCGTACTGAGCTGAATTGTCCAACCCTGTTGGCGTTTGAGCATGCAAAGCAAAGAGGGCGTGGCAGGCAGAGAGAAAGCTAATGAGACATCCCTTATTGTCTGTCCTCCTTCATTCTCTGCGGAGAATACGACCAAAAATAAACAGCAGCCGAGCCGGAGAGACGAAACGCAACATGATCCCGGCAAATAATGATGCCGCAGCGGTGTCTGTTGGTGGAAAGAGCAGCTGGTAATGGCAGGAGTTATCCAACTGTGAAGACGCTTTGTCGCGAAGCAAAGTCCGCCCTGGATTAGCAAGCCATTCCCAAAGGGGGAGCTGTCAGGCGGGTCTGAGCTACGGAGCGCTACCTGCCGATCGCTCAGGCTTGAGAAAGACACCTGTCTGTGTTGAGCTAGGAAAGACGCAGGTGTAGAGAAAACTCCAGCACTTACTGCCGTCATTACGATGCTACATTGTGGAAGGTTCCTCATTGATAAGGGATGAAGTAGAAAGGAAGATGGTGGTGTTTGGTTTGGAAGTTTTAAGCGATGTGGACTTACCAAACACCAGCTGTGTTGCTATGGTTACACTCTGTTTCTGGTTTCAAGGTGTACCAACACAAACATTTTTCATCATGGTGTAGTCCTTTTAATGGCATGCCAGAGGAAGTGTCAGAGTGACATCACAGCCCCACCCCCACCTGTTGCTGAGGACTACCAGTTAGCCGACAGAAGATGGCTGCTGGGCTTACAAGAAAGAGAAATATGCATGTTTTGTAAAATAGTTTAAAAACAGACAGTAATTATTTGGAAAATAAAGGCATGTTTGCTTTCAAAGTGCTTTACATAATCATAAAAAAATCACATAGTCATCAATTATGAAGCAAGATATAAACATTACATTTAGTCAAATGCCATCATCAGAATTACTGATCAAGTTCCAGTTATTATGAGTGGCAAGGTGAGTCTTTAGCCTTTATTTAGAGGAACTCAGTGTTCCGGTAGTTCTGCAGTTTGCTGGAAGTTTGTTCCAGATCTGTGCTGCATAGAAGCTGACAGCTGCATGTTTGGGTCTGGTTCTGGAGATGCACAGCAGACCAGAACCAGAAGACCTGAGAGGTCTGGAAGTTTGTTACCATGAAAACAGGTTTTTAAGGTATTTTGGTACTAAGGCAATAAGTGATTTTTAAACTAACATACAAAATATCCTTTTGTCTGCAGTTATTTCTCAAGTATCTGTTGAAAACAAACATTACCTAAGTTGACTAAGTGAAAATTGCTGCATTACTTTTCATATCCTGTGTATATTGTCACAGACTGAAGCAGGCAGGAGCATATTTTGTTAAAGTCAAAGGCCTGCAGCTACAACACAAACTTTTTTCTAAGATAATAACATCAAAACATAAAAATATGTTTTGTCTTTGTTATTTCCTGATGCCAAGCTCCCAGGTTTACGTTGCGCCAACTTTCTTCTAACTTATCTGGCACGTCTGACGGTTATGTAAAGACGACTGGGCGAACAGATTAATGCAGAAACATTTACTGTCCTGTAAGCGAGGAGCTGGGGGGAACATCCAGTTTTACGAAGGAGAAGGGAGGAGGGTGGTCCTGTTGGCGGTGGGGTTTAGGGGGATGATGAAACCGTAGATAAACGTGGGCGTGGAGAGCGAACGGTTCCACGTCAGTGGGCCGCTGTCGCGCGGCGCTGCTGACGTCCGCAGAGACAAAAATAGGAAGTTGTCCTGTGAAGCTCGGCGGGCTGATGCTCGTCTGCAGATAAGACTGACAGGTGTGGAAGGCTGAGAGCTGACAGCCGGCTCCACTTGAGATGTTTGTTGGTAAACTTTCAGTTTTCAGGCATATCTGGTTGGAGGCTGAGCTCCCAGCAGCTTCTGGTTCATTCTGTTCCCAGATGAGAAATGTGACTGCTGCTGGGACCACAGCAGTGTCAGACACAGCTAATTAATATGCAAAGCTAATTAGTTTTTCCCACACGTGTGCAGGTTAACCCCCTCCAAAAAATGCATTTTAGTTTATTCTGCTGTGTTTTGCAGTGTGTATTCATTCCAACATTTACATCCACGCAGAAACAGTTTATCATTGAGGTCTAATACAGGCGCAGGTTAACAGATGTTTGCTGGTGCGCTTTAAACTGAACAACAGTGCCCCCTGGTGGATGACCGGTCCTAAAGCATGACAGCCTCGGGAATCGGCTCTCTGTAGGGATTCCTAAACTGTTCCTTATCATGGCTCCCGAAAAAGGATTAGCTTCTGGAAGCTAAGCCCATTTCCAAACCCACAGACAATGCTACAAAATATGCAAAGAAACATCAACTTTTAGAACGTTTCTTCTCAGTTTTATTCACTATTGAATAATTATTATATTTGTTTAACAAAAATGCTGCCTCATACTTTCTGATTTTAGATGGTTTTTGCAGCAGTGTGAGAAACTTTTTTTGTGAGAAACTTGTCCGTTTTGAAGCTGCTAGCTTGAAGAGCAAAGCAGCTTAGTAAATTTGACTGGGAGCCAATCAGAAACATGAGCATAGAAAATAACACTTCATTAACTTATTTTAACTTATATTTTATAATAATGACTTATAAAACTTAGAAAAAAAAACTTTTTAAAAAATCGAATTAATATATTTCTTGTGTTGTTTTTATTTTATTTTTGGAGTTTAAAAAAAATTGCTTTAACTTATCTTTCCTCTAGCATTCTGAGGCCTCCACAGCGCCCCATGGTGGCCAGAGTCGCTACTTTGAAAGATACTGCTCTAGCATCACTCATGAAAGTAAATGCTGAACTTTGCTAAAAGTATCTTTTCACAATCTTCCGTGTATTTCATGGGATTTAATAAAGTTTAGTCTGAAGTGTTGCTCAGAACCTTGTTGCTGTTCACATGTTGGTCCAGTAATTGGTTTTAAAGTCTAGACCTGTTGATTAGTTGAAAGTTTTTAGGATGACCGTCCGCAAATGAACAGTGGGTTTCGATTTGGTTTCTTTAACCTGAAACCTCAACAGTGAAGGTGTTGCTGCAGGAATGCTTGTTTTAAAGAGGCAGTATTGCATAAAATCGACTTTGTTGAGCTTCATATCATGTTATAATGTTATTGTCTCATCAAAAACGTACCTGGAGTGTTCCCTTGATTTTTTCATGGCTATTTGAGCGAACCGCTAATCTCCATGATAACCACTGATACCATTGCAACTGTGGCTGTCCAAAACGCCTGGGCGGACCTCGCTCTGCCTTCAAGGAGCCTCTGTTTCCAAGCTTCAGAGTTTTCACCTCACACATCAGCCCTCCCCCCGCGACTCCTTCAGACTAGCTAGCAGCAATTAGCAAACACCAGCTGAGCTAATTATAGGAGCTTCCTCTCAGTGCAACGCTGGTTGTGAAAGGGTTAATAGAGGAGCCATTTTGTGATGACTTCCTGAAGGTGGAGTTTTAGAAAGAGTTTCTTAAAAAGACAGAGGCCCAATTTAAGAGCGTTAAATTACTAAGTCAGATTAATTTCTTTTAAGTCACAATTGGTAAATGCAAGACTTTTTAAGAAGTCAAGGTAACAGCTTCTTGATTGTGCTACAAAAATGATCAGATGTTGCTGGAAAACACATAACGCTGCCCCTTAAGAGGCCAGTTTCCCACTAACCTAGTTAGGTGTGTTTGTGACCGACCTGCAGGTGGACGGGATCCTGTGCCTGGCAGACATCTTGACCGATGAGAGCAGTGTGGAGGCTGCCCGGGCCGAGGCTGCGGCCGTGGTGGCCCAGATCACTTCACCCCACCACACCTCCACCCAGCACCTGGCCAGCTTCCTGGAGAGCATGCACGACATCGTCACAGCGCTCATCAGTGAGTGGTGACGCCAAAAACAATCTGCATCAACAAAACTTTCTGTTAATAATAAAAAATGTCTATTTGTTTCCCAACAATTTGTTGCAGCAAATGTTGTCTTGTGGAGACTTAAATAGGTTGCTGTTTCCTCTCCCAGAGCTGTGCGAGAGCGCCTCCTGTGGCGAAGTGTTCCTCCTGGCCTCTGCGGCCTTGGCCAACATCACATTCTTCGACAGCATGGCGTGTGAGATCCTGCTGCAGCTGAACGCCATCCACATCCTGCTGCAGGCCTGCAAGGACCGCCAGAGGGTGGACACGCCCTACTCCAAAGACCAGGTGCTGGAAGCAGCCGAAACGGGCCCCAGCACACACACACACACACCCATATACACGCACACAGACACACACACTATTTACTCATCTTTTTTCTTTTTGCATCACTTCAACTTCAGGTGGTGACAATTTTGGCAAATCTTTCTGTTTTGGAGTCGTGTGCTTCTGAAGTCTTGCAAGAGCAAGGTAATCAGATTTACTGCTGCGGTTTCTCATTTTTGTTTACCATGTTTTTATTTTTTTGTTATTGTAGACCTGGACCACAAATCACTTGTATCAGTGAATCTAATTTTTGGTTTCTGAAGATTTAAATTTTGGAACCAATTCATTTCTTGGGTTTTCATAGTTCATTGTGATGTCAGGGCGGCCATCTTGTTTGACAAGCATGTTCCACAGCTTCTGTTTATTTGAACTTTGAATTCAGGTGAATTTTTCAACAGAACGTTAGGCTAATATTTTTAACTTTAATTACGAGAATAAAGTCATAATATTACAGTTGTATAACAATGTCAAAATAATACTGGAATAAAGTTTTAATATTACCAGAATAAATTTAAAATGAAAATCTTGTAGTAAAAAACTAAAAAGTAAAAATGGGTCACCGTTGCATCTTTGATAATGTTCTCACTGCATAAGTAATTCCCTCTTAGTAAACGTTCTCAAATCAAAAGTTTAAGAACTTTTCTATGAATTTTTCTGTGTGAAATTAAATTTTTGTAACAAACGGAGAATTTCTTTGGGATTCATTTTATATGCATCTCTGCTGTCATTCAGCATGTTGTCGTTTTCCTAAAAAAAATGGCCCAAGTTGTTTCTTTTTTACTTACAGTTTTTTCTACAAAAATAATCATCACCTTCTTATTATGAAAAGATCATTCCGGCAAAAATAAAATCACTTTTGGCAAAAAATGAGTTAGGCTGTTATTTTAGTAAAGTGATGATATTAAAATATGGAAGTAAATATTAAACCCTCCTGCAAAAAATTGTATAAAAAAAATATGTGCTAAAACATTCACATAAGCTGAATGAATGGAGTGTAGTTATTTTTTATTCCACCAGAGGGCAGCATCTAGTTATCTTTGGGAGTTTGCCTGACAAGCGTTTGAGTATTAGTTAGTAACTCATCTATTATTATATTTGTTCTGCTCATAAATTATTTATAAATAACCAACTTCAAGCGACCTGAAGCATTCCTTATGTTTTGGGGATTGATTATTTTCCAAACTGCTCCCTATTATTACCGTTTTCAAAGTCTTTCTGCTGAGTAAAAGTGATGCTTCTGTTCTTTCTAAACGAGTCATCGTGTTTTTTCTCCTTCATCAGGAATAGAGAGGCTGCTGCTGCTGCTGGGGGAGAAACCGTCGTCCTCCAA